AAAACCACTCTTCTAGAGACTTTTTATCTCACAAATATCCATTGTATGGATTTTATTCTTGAGATGCCATAATTGGTGGAGGTGGATTTAGAAATAAAGTGGAATATTAAATATGTCTCACTAAAATACAATGGTGTTAAAGATATGTAGTTTGGAAGAGTTCAACCTTAAGTTGTTATAGACTTTGCTACATTTTTTAAATGGGTTTATTTTCAAGTTATTTGCTATTTGCATAACTTAGGGGACCAAGGCACGTATGGGGGAAAAGGAACAGTATGGGATGTACTCAATGAGTTTTTCAATATTCTTCTATCTGAACTTCTTTATGTCACCTCCATTACGAGGTGTGGAGCATGGGATTACGTTGGAGCTGGGAATGCAATCAATTACCAACATCCATTTTACTTAAGTTATGCAGAGGAGTAAAAAGTTCAATGATAAGTCAAGAAGTTACTTGAGTTTGAATTTATTCAGCCAAATAAATCTTCATTTGGTGCTCCAATTTTACTTGTGAAGAAGAAAGATGGTTCAATGTGGATGTATATAATACTAATGATACCATTCATTCCAAATAAATATCCAAAGAAAGTACAAAACCCAAAGTGTATTTGGATGTTTGTCTGGAATGAATGGTATCATTAGTATTAGTCTTGTTGTTCTTAAGAAACATGGTTGCTATTCTTCTCCCTAGACGCAATCAAATTATTCTTTCCCATAAGAGTAAATAAGCAATTGGCTTCTAACATAGTATCACACTTATTCCCACCACAAAACAAATAACATGGGGTCTAGATTCTCTTCTATCCACTTTATTTACACTACAAGAGCACAAGAAAATAGCCAAAAAGAAAGATTTACATCATTTTATGTTCTCCTATAAATAATTTGATTTGTGTGGACTCTTAGAATGCTCCAAAAACACTCGAGAACATGAAGGTGGTGATAAATTACTCATTGAACATATATTCTCCAATCTAAATTTTTGGCCACTTTAACTTTTGCATCTATTTTTTTATAATAAAATTCAAGGGAAATCAAGTAGCATGATTGCTGAAATGAGGGTTTAAACTTTTTTCATAGTTAAGGAATTTTAATCGGATAATAAAATTTATTTTTTAAAATTTCATATAGAAAAAAGGTTGTCATCGACACTAAAAATTCTAGTAGCTTTAATACACAAAATCTATATCACTCTCCTAAAGAAAGACAAACTATGGTTGATTTAATGAGTTTTGATTATTCTTATATATAATTTACTCTTTAATCTGTTGATTTATATAAAAATACAAAGTTTCCCAAGTATATATTTTTGTTATTTATATTGGATTAAAATATAAATATGTAAATATGTAAAAATTGGATTGATATAGAGTTAATTTACTTTTTCCTATGGTTGTGGTTATCCCGTGGATAGAGTTGATGCTTGTTTTATAGCTAAATAAAATAAGTCTAATAAAGAAAAAGCTTAATAAAAAAAAATCTGAATTTTTTGCCACTTTAACTTTGCATCTAGTTTTTTTTTCATAACAAAATTTAAGGGAAGTCAAGTAGTATGATTGTTGTAATAGCTTTTTTCATAGTTAACAAATTTTTACCATAACCTTTAGATAATAAAATTAAGTTTTTTAATTTTTTTTAAAAAAGGGTTGTTATCGACACTAGAAATTTTAGCAATTCCAAAACAAAAAAGCTATATCATTCTTTTAAAAAATGACAAACTATGGCTGATTTAATGAGTTTTGATTATTCTTATATATAATTAACTTTTTAATCTATTGATTTATATAAAAAGACAAAGTTTCTTATGATTGTAAAATAGTATATATTTTTTTATTTAGATTCGAATAAAATGTAAAAATGTAAAGATGTAAAATGTAAAGATGTAAAATTGAACTAATACAGAGTTAGTTTACCTTTTTTTGTGGTTATGGTTATCCCGTGGATAGAGCTAATACTTGTATTATAGCTGAATAAAGTAAATCTAATAAAGAAAAAGCTTAATAAATAAAAATCTTAATTTTTTGCCACTTTAACTTTTATTTTTTTTTTCATAATAAAATTCAAGAGAAGTCAAGTAGCATAATTGTTAGGATAAGGGTTTAGGCTTTTTTTATAGTTAAGGAATTTTTACTATAACCTTAATAAAGTTTAATTTTTAAAATTTTACAAACTAAGTTGTTATTGACACTAGTAATTTCAGTAGTTCCAAGACACAAAGTTATGTCATTCTCCTAAAGAAAAACAAGCTATGGCTAATTTAATAAGTTTTAGTTATTTTTACATATAATTGATTCTTTAATTTGTTGATTTATGTAAAAAGACAAAGTTTCATATGATTACAAAATAGTATATATTTTTGTTATTTATATTGGAATAAAATGTAAATATGTAAAGATGTAAAATTGAACTTATACAGAGCTAATTTATCTTTTCCTATGGTTATGGTTATCCCGTAGATAATGTAAATGCATATATTACATTTGAATAAAACAAATTTAATAAAAAAAAAGCTTACCTTAAAACGATTTGTATTTTCTTATAATTGAACGATTCAAAATACCAAAGATTAATGCTAGCCAATTTTCAACTAGTTCAATGAGATAAACCACATAGTATGCATTTTTTGTCCTTTTTTAGGAGAGTGACTAAACTTTTGTAATTCTAACATGACTACTAAAATGAGGGTTTAAGTTTTTTCCATAGTTAAGGAATTTTTACCATGACCTTAATAAAGTTTAATTTTAAAATTTCACAAAAAAAAAGGTTGCCATTAACACTAGAAATTTTAGTAGTTCCAAAACATAAAAATTATATCACTCTCCTAAAGAAAGACAAACTATGACTAATTTAATGAGTTTTAGTTATTCTTATATATAATTTATTCTCTAATCTGTTGATTTATATAAAAATACAAAGTTTTCTATGGTTGCAAAATAGTATATATTTTTGTTATTTAGAATTAAATTGTCTGACTATCAGAAAAAATAAGAAAAATAAGAGAGTTATTTGGTATATACTTTTTTTGTTGTTACTTACATTTATTTATTAAAATTTAATACTACTTTATTTTGAAATTTAAAATTTTCTAGAGCTAGGATCCCCCAAGTAGCTATAACCATTCTACTTCAAAGTTGATGATATTGCATTCATATTAGTGAGTTTGGTTTTATCAAAAAGCTAATAAGATGTTTATGAAAAGAGAAACTTATAGAATAAATATCTTATAAGAGGTTTCTAAGGAGGTTTATGAAGTATAAACATGTTTATAGTTTAACCTTTTCTGCGACTCATATAAACCCTTATATATTGTCCAAATCCTATGTGTTGGACTTAGCGCTACCTGCACTACCAAGGCAAGTTTGGTCGATCATCTCCCAGAGCTGGACATCTCAGCCAGGGGGAAGGAGTGCGTGCTCTTACTCATGACAGTCTGGGGAACTGTCATGGCCACCGGTGCTGGTCTGGTACCCAGACGAGCAGCTGGTAGGCGTTGTGGCAAACAGGTTGTTGCCGCGGCGCTTCATTCCCATGGCCTCGTGCTCGGGCATGGTGTGTGGCTTTCACAGAGATGCCGTCTTGTCCGAGGGCTTGCACTGGGCGGACGACCGATGGCGGTTGCGGGTGGCCGTTTGCAACCCGGGCACCGGATTCCGACTTGAGCTCCCCGTTCTCACCTTTTGCAACCGCAGCAACAACTCTCCCGAGCTGGCTAATACGTATGGTCAGATCAAGCTGGAGATGAGAGGCAACCAGGAGCGGTTCAGCGTTCACGTGCTGTCCACACAATTTGGAGAGCACACCGTTTATAGCTGGCACTCGAGCTCCAAGCTCTGGACATCGTCAACGAGCAGCGGCAGCGTGACGGGAAATCTGTGTGGGGAGCTCATCTTCCGGGACGCAATGATGCTCGCTTATGATAGTGGCTCTCAAGCCTGGACCGCAATGCCAATTCCAGATTAAGGTTTCCAAGGCTACTCTTACCGGAGGGCGGATGCTTTCCGGCACGGACACAAGGTGATGGTGCTCGGCCAGTGCGCAGGTGATCAAGCAAGTCGGCTCATTGTGTTGCTGGAGCTGGAAGAAGGTGAACAAGGCGGCGGGGCGAGCTGGAAGCCGGTAGCCTGGGCACGCAGGGAGCAGTTTGCACAGCAGTCGACAGCGATCTGGTGGTGATGCGCACGGCAGGATCGTCGTGCCTAGCGCTGCATAGGCCCGTGGCTCTCCATGTCCAGCGCCACTCTTGGGTGGAGCTGCCGTGCCACCTCAATCTCCAGGCGGTCGGCATCTACAGGCCACAAGCAACGCCTCCAGTCGACAGCCCGTAGCAGCAGACAGTGGGATCTTCTTGTGACCAGGTAAGACGCTTTCAAAGAGAAGACTGTAGAATATTTAGTCTTTCTCATAGAGCCTTAACGAAGACCTCAACATATTGCTAAGAGTCTTTGTTCAAATGGAGAGCGGAGCTAGCCTGTTTAATTGTGAATTTCGTCATGCTATGTGTCCTTCCAATCCGATCGAGAGAGAGAGCGAGAGCGAGAGAGAGAGCGCGATTTCGTCCCTATACGTGGCAACTTTCTCAGTGTTTTTCTCTCTTTTCTTTTGGTAGAGAAGCTGATTTTTGTAACATATATGGGAGTGCGATCTTTGCGTCGCGACCGCTCTGATCCTCGCCTTGTCGGACGGCGGCTGGCCTGCCGCCGACATGTTCTAGAGGATGCCCGCGCAAGATCTCCTCTTCAACTCCATATTCCAGCTGTGCTGGGGCAGGAGGGAGCGACCTGCGCCAAGGAGCTCTTGGATGCTCCATAAACACACGCCGGTGACACGAGGTTCGCACATTCTCCGCGAGAATCACCGGATCTCCGCTATGAGCAAATGGGAGGCCAAATCCCTCTCGGGCATCTCGCGATGGCTTTCCCCCGGCATCCGCCTGGATCACCGCGTCCCACGATGCGAAGCTCCATTGTCCATCGTCTTGGTCCGCGGCGCTAGATCAAAGAAGCTGTAACATCCACAACTCTTTTCTAGATTAAACCGACTGCAAAATCTTTCCTGATACCCCTGTGTTCCTATTCCGACCTCCGCAGAGGAGAGTTACGTGCTCCATCGCCTCGTGTAAGTGGCCCCCTTGGACGTAAACCGTGAGCATGCAGTTCCAGGAGTTGCGATTCTTGTGTTGGATCGTGTCAAACACTGCTCTTGATTCTTCCAGAGCCCCGCCTTTTCCATACATGAGCATTTGCTACGACTGTGTTGCTCTCGAATCCCCTCGAGACGACGATCCTGTGAACTTTTCTGCCTTGCTCCAGCGATGCCATGCTCGAGCAAGCGTCGAGAGCGCTCACGCAAGCAACCGCATCGGGTTCGAGGCCTCCATGAGCAAGCAACCTCTCGAAAATCTCCATCGCTTCTCTGCCATGGCCATGCTGGGCATAGCTCGATATCAGCGTCGTCCAGGTGACGAGGTTCTTTTGCGGCATTCTCTCGAAGACTAGCTCAAGCTCCCACATTTCCCATACATTGTGATCACCGCTGTGCCAACTATAACGTTTGATTCCAGGCCCAGAGCTGTGATCCTTGCGTGGAACTTTCTAGCTTGCGGGAGAAGCCTTCGAACCGTGAAGGAAGCAAGAACAGTGACGCAAGTCACCGGCGATGGCTTCACACCATCGAGCTCCATTCGTCTAAACAGCAACAACGCCTCGGCAAAATGCCCATTCTATGGAAACGCTGCGATCATGATAGTCCACGAGAAAAGATCTCTGTTCCAGATGCCAGCAAACACCTTATATGCTAGACCAAGCTCGCCAAGCTTCCGATATGCCTGTAGTATCATGTCTCCCACGAACTGGTCTTCCGCGCAGCCGGGATGCCTCGCGGAAACAAAGCCGTGCACGCGACGAACTTGTGCTAGATTATTCTCTTGTACGCACCACTTGAGAAGGGACACAAAGCCTCTCGACACTGCCGTGTTAATGCTGATCTCCCCTGCTTGCTCGATCACGGCACCACGGCTCGCGGGAGATCTCCATACTTTCCCTTCCACCCATCCACATCGGTCTCCAAGAACTTGACATTGTCACCAATCACCGATGCCGCTGCCGTGTGGAGCCACTCGCGGAGCACTCGAATTCGCCGCAAGCTCATCTAGCAGGATCGCTCTATCCCATGACCACGGAACCAGCTCTAAACCAAGAACTCCCCAGGAACAATCCGTGGCAAACGAGATCCTCCCCAATCACGCAAGAGAGATCACCAGCGCCCAGGACGAAGATCTCATCCCGGAGCCCAAATGCCCGCTGCGAGTGGACATTGAAAGCCGGAGACGAGGAAGACGAAGATGGCTTGCGCTGGATGCTCCCGGCAAGAACCCATTCCCCATCCACGAACTTGTAGAGGCAATCCGAGGCTGTCAAGCTGTAAATCCCGCTGGAAGTAGCGACGAGTTCTCCATGATCCATGGCACTCATCCCAGAAGAATCGCGGTGCCAGGAATCGCTACCAGGATCATAGACCAGCACCTCGCAACGCGTGGAAGAGAACACCCGGACGTAAAGCTTACCCTGGAACACCACCTTGCAGTCAACCCGGTCGAGGTTGTTGTACGGCATGGTTGACCGCTGCGTCCACGTGTCGGTCGCAACGTCATAGGACTCGGTCGCAGGGACAAAGTCACCGTCGTGGTCGCAGCCCCCCGCGACGTAGACCGTACCATTCACTGTCGCCATGGCGAACTGCGACCGCGCGACAGTTGGCGGCGATCCCGCCCGCCACTTGTTCTTGATGGAATCGAAGATCCGGGTGTGGTTCTCCACACTCGATCGGCGAGAGCTCGTCCTGGATTCCAGCACGACGAGGAGAGCGCCCACCGCCGCGGTCTTGAATGTGGCGAATCCTCCTCCGCCCACATCGCCGATTTCTAGCCCCGTGGGCAGTGGAGGATCTGGAAGAGGCGCTTTGAGCAACAAGGATTTGGAGGCGAGATTGTAAATGCAGTAGGAGTTGTGGCCATTTTCCATGAGGATCACGACGAGCCAGGCATCGGCGATGCCAGATTTCCTTCTTACCGCGAAGAAATCCTCACTCTCGAGCGTTTTCTTCCAAGTTCTTGACACCGATCGCATGCTGCGGTGGTAGATCCTGGGGACCTTGGCGAGGCAGTGGCGCGCGACATCGTTTGGAAGCCCCGAAATGAGAGATCTCTTGAGTTCTAAGCCTAGGTACCTCTTGTTTCCCATTGATCTTCCAAGGAATCATGGGCGATCGCTTAAGAACACCGTGAAGAACTTTCGGTGGGAAATACCAATTAAACATTGGACACGTTGCTGGAGATATTTTTTTCCCTCCTTTCAAAACTGGACACGTAATGGTCTCTTTTCGCGGATTTTCGGCATTGTGACACGTGTATTAGGGTTGTTTTAGGTATGGTTGCTTTATCCTTTCTTCCCTCTGGCGCCACTATCCTCCCTCCATCGCCACTCCCGCGCAGGAATTTCCTCGCTCTAGGGTGCCCGCTGCTGGTAGCGATCGGCAGCGCTGGCAATGCCGCCCAAGCGGTGATCAAATCCAAGGCCGCGGCCCAGGAAGAGAAGCTGCTGGAATCAAACCAGCGGATCCAGCAGTTGAATGGCGTGCCTCCGGATTTCCCGAGCTTCGTCCGCCAGGGATTCAAGGTCAAGGTTGTGGCGAGCCCCAAGTATGTGACCACGAGCACCGGATTGATCTACCTCGATCTGGAGCAGGGGAGCGGCGATTGCCCCAGCGATGGCCAGCAAGTGATCTTCAACTACATTGGCTACAACGAGGCCGGGAGGAGGATCGACAGTAGCTACCAGAAGGGGCAGCCATCCAAGACGCGATTGGGCGATGGTGGATTGGTTCCTGGGTTTGAGGAAGGGATCAAGAGCATGAGGCCTGGCGGGAAGCGAAGAATTGTCGTCCCTCCCGAGCTGGGTCCTCCAGTCGGCCCCTCGACGTTCTTTAGCTCCAAGCAGTTCGAGATCTTCGACGTGGAGCTCGTCCAGGTGAAGGATTGCGTGAGAAAGACAGTGGGATTCTTCTCGGCTCTTAGCTGTGACTGAAAACAAACGAATTTTTTGTTCATGGATCGATCTCACTCGTCTCATGTGTGATGTTCCTGGCCTCGTGAGGCTACTGAAATCTTGCTGCGGTGATTTCGCCAGGGCGCGCGAGCTCCATTTGCGTGTCTTGGGCGATGAGCGCTTGCGATCCAACGTAAGAATCAGGAATGTTTTAATCGATGTGTATGGGAAATGCGGGAGAATCGACGAGGCTAGAGAGGTTTTCGATGGATTGGAAGAACGAGATGTTTGCTCGTGGAACTCGATTGTCACAGCATATGCCACAAATGGGCATCTTGACATGGCAAGAGATTTCTTTGAGAGAACACCAGGCCGAGACGTGGTATCTTGGAATGGTATCACAAAAGCGTACAGCCACCATGGCCTGGTCGATCAAGCGCGAATTTGGTACGACAGGACACCCTGGCAAAATGTGGTGTCATGGACAGCCATGCTGGCAGCATATACCGCGTCAGGGCATCTGGACGAGGCAAGAAGTATATTTGACAACATGCGTCAGCACGACCTGGTGTCGTGGACTGCCATGCTGGCAGCCTACGCTGGCAACGGTCGCGTTCGTGATGCGTGGAACTTTTTTATCAGGATGCCTGAAAGAAATCTGGTCGCGTGGAACGCTATTGTGCAAACATTTGCCCAAAATGGGCATTTTGCTAAGGCGGTGGAGACGTGGGAGTCCATGCCAGACTTGAGCGCTCTTTCATGGACAATTATGATATCCGCGTATGGGAATCAAGGCTTGGTGGACTTAGCTAAGCGTGTTTTTGACAAAATGCCGTGCAAGGACATTGTGGCCTTGACGTCCGTAATCACGGTTTATGCCCAGAACTGGGATCTGGAGCACACGGAACATGTTTTTGCAAAGATGCCCTGTTGGGATTCAGTTGCGTGGACGGCCATGATTCAGGCATACTCTCAGAATGGAAAGCTTGAGATGGCAAAGACTACGTTTGACACTATGCCCAAACGAACTGCTTTTTCATGGAATTGCCTCATTTCTGCGAGTGCCATGTACGGGCATTTGCGTCATGCTTGTGTAACTTTTGATAAAATGCCTGTTCACGACAAAGTTTCATGGACGACTATGGTTTCTGGATTTACGCAAAATGGCCAGCTTGAGGAGGCTCTGGAGGGTTTTAATCGAATGCCCAAGCGGGATCTATACACTTGGAATTCGATCATCCAGGCACTCGCCCAGAATGGCGACTTGAAAACCACACTGGAGCTCGTTGGGTCAATGCTCCTTGAAGGAGTGAAGCCGAGCTACATCACCTACGTGAGCGTGCTCACGGCTTGCAATCACGAAGGCGTGGTTAACTCGGCAAGGGAGCACTTTGGAATCATGCTTGAAGCTCATGGCATTTTGCCGGTGATCAAGCACTTCCACTGTTTGATAGATGTGCTGGGACGAGCAAGACGGCTACAACAAGCCGAGGAGCTGCTCTACAGCATGCCCTTTGCAGCCGATGAGGTTGCCTGGACTTCTTTGCTGGGGGCTTGTGCCGTCCATGGTGAAATTGAGCAAGGGGAACGAGCAGCGAGGAATGCTCTTAGACTAAATCCTTGCAGCGATGTTGCCTTCACGTTGCTATCGAATGTGCATGTCATTGCACACAGCCTGGTATAGTTCTACATTTTACAGAGGATACCATCTATCGCACGCGTAGAGGCTGTGGAACGAACTTCTTCTGCTCACGATCAAAGAAGGCAGGAAATTCATGGTTGAAAAGCTTGCATTCTAACCAAGCATATCCTGAGTTTAACCTGTGGATTTGCGGAACGAGACAAGATATACATCATAACTAAGCAAAGGTTCTCATCCTTCATTTGCTCAAAGTAGAACCCCAAAAATTAGAAGTTATCTCAATGCAAATTGAGAAAACATCTGTGGGTGGTAAGAATGCCATAGTAGAAAAAGAAGGTGAGTGCAAAACTAGCTAAGGCTCTGAGAATAAAGGAAGCAAGGCAAGGACAAATAAGAAGCTGCTGTGATCAAAGGTTTGAGAAGATGTCTTGCCAGAACTGTCTTCCGAGTTTTCTTTAGAATACATCATGTTTGACAAAACTGTTTTCATTGTTGTTTTCATTTACACTGATTTAGAGTGTTTTGCAGATGAAATTGTTATAGAAGATACACATAATATTGAGTGAATGGCTTGCTATGCCCTTATCGTCCGTGCAAGTACTGATATTATTATCCCCATCATCCAACCACAAGCAAACTAGTCTGCTTCAAAACAGCTCTAAATATCTAAAGCATGAGAATGGAAGCTCTTGTAGCTCACAATTATTCTAGTCATCTCAAGCCTTATAGGCAGAATATCTTGAACTGTAAGTAGAAAATGTTGTGGCCACTCTCAGCAGTAGAGCCAGCATCCGTTCTCTAGCAAAGACGATCATGATCAAGATAGGAAGAATGATCAACCATCGATATCGGTTGATCACAAGGAGAAATAAGACAAGAAAGAAAAGTTCCAGATGTTGGTTATAATGGATATTAGACAGCCTGCTTCAAGTAAAGCAATGAAAACATGAGATCGTAGTTGTCATAGCTAGTGGCCACCTTCATGATGAGGCGTTTTGGCTTAGATCTCGTAAAAAGAACTATCTCGGCACTCCAGAACTCTCCCCGGTGTGCCTTCTCATTGTCGCAAGAATTCTTTTGCCAAGGCCTCTGGCGGGATAGCCTGAAGTGTCCCAAGCCTCACACGCTCACATTCTCCGGATCAAATTTCTGCTATGATTGAGTCCCTTTGAACGACTTACATTTCGTCCAATCTTGAGACTTAAGTATGACAGCTAATGGATGCCAGGAAACTCGTCAGCACCAAGAGTGTCCTCTTTCTTGAGCTGAGCACAATTACCAAATACTTTGCGAAATTCTGCCCATAGCTATAGGTTGTGATCCCAACACACAAATGTGGAGTGCAGGGTGACAAATTTCATAGCTCTCCTTGAAAACTCATGGCGCAAGAGAACTCCAAGATTGATCCCGAGCTGCCGCCAACTACTCAGAATTCTTTGCTGCTATGTGGAATTCATATTGTGCTGGTTTAAAACCACACCACCTTTGCTAGACAATCGTCTTGTGTTGCCCAGCCAAGAAGTAGTGCCTAATTCCATTTGCTAAATGTCACGTTGGCACTAAACGATTGCAATGATCTTACTAATGCAGGTTCCCAATGAGGAAGTCTAGAGCAGGCAGCATGATCACTGTTGTGATTTTGGGTTTAATTTGCAGAAACCAATTACTTAGATTTAGCAAATTATGATTTCTGTTAGAAAAAACAGATTTACAACACAACTTGGATTAAAAGAGACGAGTTACCACCCGAATATAATAATAGCCTTCTCAAGGTAACCGTGTTTGCTTCTATCAGGGACGACATTTAAACTTCCAATGAAACATTGTGTATGCTGAATCCACGGCCATGGCCAGCCGCAACGCTGGGAGCCATAATCGCGGTGCCAGGACAAGTTCCGCACATGGATAAAATCACATTCATCACTACTCTGGAGGCGAGTTAGACAGGCTGATACAAAGATTGGGATCTGCAACAAGAATAGTGAGTTTACTTTGAACACAATGAATATGTGTCGTTTATTGTAGAGTGTTTTGTCTTTTCTTCCGTAGAATCTGAGCTGTGCAGCTTGTTAAAGAGAGTCTTGTCTTTTCTTGAATATAATTTAACATGGTATCAAGAGGCATATGTGTCCCTTCTTGTCTTTTTATTTATTCGAGATGTTTCTGATGAATTATAGTGTTCTCATATCCTTCTAGATATTACTCTTCTTTATAGGTTACTTATAATTGGAATTGTCATGTTTGGTATCAAACCTTTCAAATATCGCAAGGAAGGAAGTCGCAAATATCTTCTTCCATTCTTACCGCATACTTGTATCCGTGCTCCTTGTTGGATTTGTCAAGCTTTTCGAATTAGAATTGTCAAGCTTTGTTGAGCTCTTTCACTTGGAACTGTCTAGCTTTGTCGAATTACTTTTTGAGCTTTTCGAATTGGAATTGTCAAACTTTGACAAAATTATTTTCGAGCCTTATCGGATAATTTTATTGAGCTTTTCAAATTGGAATTGTTGAGCTTCTTCTGACTAGATGTCAAACATTTCAAATTAAGTTTGTCAGAAGATCTCTTATCAGTAGCAATGGAGTTGTAATTTGGTATTTTCACTATGGGAAACATTTTAGATTCAAGCTTTATTGTCAAATTACTTTTGTCATATATTTTTACTTAATTTTTTTCTTGGTCAAACTTTGAACTTGCCAAAATTTGAAAAATTTAACTAGAATATCTAAATATATTTTTAGGATATTCTTCGCTTTTTCTAATTTATTTATAATTGGTATTTAATAATAATTTTCTTAGTTAAACTAATACAAATTAACTTTAAGTCTGTGTTTATATTTTAACTATTACTTCCTAATTAGATGTTTGTGAATCATCCTTAGAACATAAGAAATAGTACCATACAAAGATTCAATTACCACTATTTGGCACCCAAAATCTTTTAAATACTGCAATCCCTTAAATGTATAAATCAATCAGGAGCTTATATCATAAGCCCTGTATATAAACACTTCTATTTTTAATTATATGAAAATTACCCAATGAAACAAAAATTTACATTTGTAATAAGTATTTTCCTTACCCAAGGCAAAAATATTTATTAATTATTGTGGTGAGTATGTCATCTTTTGACTGCTTTCTAAATCTTTAAAAAGATAATTCAAGCGGATAAGAATGTAAGACACCACCATAATGCCAAGGAAATGTAAAAACTAACAATATTTTTACAAGTAAATAAAAAGGTGACAACATTTGGGTTATGCACTTTGTTGTTCCACTTAAAGCTTAAGAATAAACTCATCATAGAGTTTTTTTACTTTTATGCCCTAGAATTAAACTATGCAAAACATAAATACTAAATTAAACTATTTTTGGTTTGCTTAAACAAACCTTAGAAATATACCTAGAATATCCTTGGATATTCTAGGATATTCTACCATCTAATGGTCAATAAGATTAATTTTGTGTTTATAAATTATAAACATGTTTATAATTATAAAATTTTATTTGATTAATTGAATTAATAAGTAAGAATAAAATTACTATTAAACAAACCAATTGTTGTTACATGCAATGAATAGAAAATTATTAATATTGCATGCTAAAGCCCTAAAACCATTATGATCAAACTTATAGTTCCATTTATCGTGGCTCCTACCCCAAGGATGGGGGTTCTTGCACAAAAATGTTATTTTTACTAGAAAAGAAACACAACTTGTGTTTAAAAGCCTAAACTGGGAGCCACATAAGGTGGAGGGTGTAATTATAATTTGATATTCTTACACTAAACTTTAAGTTTCAAACTAATATAAAAACTTCTCTAATGTAAAAGTATTAGGAATATATAATACCATTAATTTAAGAATTTAGTTTAATATCTTATAAATCCAAAATAAGGAACCTAGATCAACTCAGAACGATCTCATCTAGATCTCAAGGATCCATAAAAAATAAGTGCCTTAATGATCTATTGGATTTGTCACGAAAATTCTGCTTGCTAAGGAGTTTGTTCCAATTAGAAGCTATGGACTGCTGGCTTTGGGTTACATGGTTTTGCTAATTGGATGTCAGAACAAGGGATGTCCATCTAGTGAGGAACTTAATACAATGTGATCAAAGTCAATGACAGTCAACATAATTTTTATATTGACTCTTGACATCATGGTTTTGGAACAGGGGGTAGTTAACTATTGCTGAAACTCTATAGAAAAATAATAATGTTCATGAAATTTATAAAATTATAGATTAACATTAAATCTTAAAGTGCCCCAAAGGACCATCTTGCAAGAAACCACAGCAGTGCTGCAATATCACCTTTAGAATCTTCAACATAATCAATCGATTACTGGTTGGAAGTTAATTGAGATGATTTATACTGCTATTAAGGCATGTAATCTAGCATCTTTGGTTTCGCCAGCGTTAATCAAAGGGATTGATTTAAAGTATCTAAAAACTACCAAAATTTTGTGGAAGAACTCAAAATGCTAAAGTGCTAGAGCCTATTCTAATACAAGTCTTTCCACCGGTTGATCCACTTTGTATACGTATATGTCCGTAGTTCCACTCTTTCTACTTGAGGCACAGAAGCACTGAAAATGGGTGACATTCTTCCAAGGCTCGGCCGGCTAGCACTCAGCATTTCGCTCCAGAGCCGCTAAAAGCTCTTGTCTCAAGCTTGGGAAGAGGGAAAAGCTTCAAAATCCCTGCCTGATTGATCCACCACCGGCCATGAAAAAACAGGAAAAGCGATTAAAAACAAAGCTAGAACATGTCAAACTGCAACTAGCTCCCAGCGAGGTTCGAACTCGCGACCTTTCGCTTACGAAGCGAACGCACTACCACTATGCTATGGAAGCCAAGTTGGTAACAAACGTCATAGTAAAACCCATATATCCGCTCACGTGTCAATTCCCATCCACGTCATCACACCTCTCCGCCAATGGTCGTGCTGCATCCCCGCCTAGGGCTGATTCACCCCCCATTGTTCGTCGGTCGGGGGACGGCGGACGATGGATTGTTGCGACAGCGACGATGACTGCTGCGACATAGTGCCGCACCACCACGGGCACCACGGGCACCACCACGGGCACCACCACCACCACAGCCACAGCCCCCGCGTCCACATCTCCTCGGCCCACTGCTCACCGCGCTCCTGCTCCCCGGTGCGTGTCCGCGTGGGCGACGATACCACGGTGCTCTACTCGGGTGGCAGCCACTGCCAGCGCCCCTCCTTCTACCACCACCACCACCACGACTCCCTCACGCTCCACATCGACGATTCGCCGCCGTGCACGCCCCGGATCTCCGTGCGCGCCCGCAGCTGCTCGCCCGAGAGGGTGACGCTGAGCATCACGCCGCGATCTTGCCCCTTTTGCCCCTCGTGGCAGCGCTACTGCCGCTGGTGCCCGATCTGCCGCTGGTGCCCCTACTGCCACCACGGCTGCCCTCGCTATTGCGGCTATTGCCGCCTGTGGTGAAGCAAAGCAATGCCGCCACCGCGCGCTCCCATGCCTGACACTTCGATGCTGCGATTGAGGAGCCACTGAAGCTAACCAACGCCATAGCCTCAGCAAGAAACTCGCGCTTAACAATGTTCTAAAAACTCTCTTATAAAATACCTCTACATTTCAAATTTTTAGGGTTCTTGGGTAGGGCTCTCTCTCTCTCTCTCTCTCTTCTTGCAGGAATGGGGACGAGCGTCCAGCTGACCCCGCTTGCCGGCGCTCACTCCGAGGGGCCGCTCTGCTACCTCCTCCAGGTCGACGATTTCAGATTCTTGCTGGATTGCGGCTGGAACGATGTCTTCGATGTCTCTCTCCTCCAGCCCCTCGTCAGGTATTGGATTCTCGGCTTTTCTTGATTGACCATTGATATTTCAGTGTCGCTCCCACGATCGATGCTGTGCTTCTCTCCCATTCTGACACGCTGCATCTCGGAGCGCTACCCTACGCGATCGCGAAGCTGGGACTCAATGCGACTGTCTATTGCACGCATCCCATCCGGTCCATGGGCCATATGCAAATGTATGATCATTGCCTCTCGCGAACTGTGAGTTTTGTTCTTCTTTCCGCTCAGCTCGTGGATGGACTGAAATAATGTATGGATTTCTTCTTTTCTTACAGGCTGTGTCGCATTTTGATCTCTTCAGCCTGGATGATGTAGACACTGCCTTCTCGAACACCTGTCCTCTCAAGTACTCTCAACATTTTCCTCTTCAAGGTAATCCCCGAGAAGAAAACTAGAAGAAATTTAAGGTTTTAGTTTTTCTCTAGTGCAGGCAAGGGACAGGGCATTATCATCACACCGTTTCCAGCAGCCAGACTTTTAGGTGGAACTATCTGGAAAATCACCAAGGACACGGAAGACATCATATATGCTGTCGATTTCAACCATCGCAAAGAAAGGTTTCAGTTTTAGATTTGTTCATTTCCTGAGGCCTAGAATCTGAGGGCATGCTAACGCAGGCATTTAAATGCAACGGTTTTAGAGTCCTTCACTAGGCCTGCAGTGCTTATTACGGATGCTTACAATGCTCTCAATTCTCAGCCTGTGCGCCGGCAACGAGATCAAGAATTTCTGGGTACGTCTTTCTTGGTTTTTTGTGAGCCATAGAGTTCTCTCTCCTGTTTTTTGATGCAGATATTATCTTGAGGACTCTACGCTCCTCTGGAAATGTTCTTTTGCCTGTCGAACCGTCTGGTCGGGTATTAGAGATTATTTTGTACCTGGACCAGGTATGCTCTCAAAACTAAGTTTACTTTGTAAGCGTCCTTTGCATGCAGCATTGGAGCCAGCACCGAATAAACGTACCCCTCGTTTTTCTTACGTATGTGGTCGGCAGCGTAACTGACTTTGTTAAGAGCTCGCTTGAATGGATGAATGATGCTATAGGAAAAGCATTCGAACAGAATCGTGAGAATCCATTCGCACTAAGGTGAGTGATCCGTTTTAACTGCATGTTCTTATTTTTCATATTTACTTTCAGATCCGTGAAATTGTGCACCTCACGAAAACAGCTTGAGGAGCTTCCTCCAGGACCCAGGGTAACGTTTTCTCGAAACTAAATCGTGAATACTCAATTATTGGTTCAGGTTGTTCTTGCATCCATGGCGAGCTTGGAAACAGGATTTGCGAAAGAATTGTTTTTGGAGTGGGCTGTAGATCCTAAAAATCTTGTACTTTTTACGGAACGGGCTCAGGTAGTCGTTATTCTCTCCTATTTGCGAGAAGTTCATCGTTAAGTTTTGGTAGGTTGGAACACTAGCGCGTCAGCTGCAGGTGGAGCCTCCGCCAAAGATTGTGAAAATCACCATCAGCAAGAAAGTCCTTCTTGTCGGTGAGGAGCTGGAGGCTTACGAGCGTGAGCAATCGCGGCTCAGAGAGGAAGCAAGGAACGCAGCTTCTCAACAGGAACCAGTCCAGCCAGCTTCTTCAAGCGACGACCTGATGCCATCATCTCCGGACGAGTCAAGTACACCATCAGAAGGTGATGAGTTTGTCAGTTTTCTCTTGGCTTAAGACGATAGTCCTTGTTCATTCCAGGGAAGCAGCAAGCGGTCACTGTTCATCATGATATTTTCATAGATGGTTTCACGGTTCCGGCTGACACCGTAGCACCCATGTTCCCGGTTTATGACGATAGCAACGAACGTGACGAGTATGGGGAAATTATTAACCCTGATGACTTTGTGATTAAAGAAGAGTTTATGGACTACTCCCAAACTCAGGCTGTAAGTGATGTTCTTAGTGCGTCTAAAACTGGTTTTAACGATTTGTTTTTTTTATACATATTATATATTTTCTTACAGAATGCAAATAATATAAAGCTAGAGACAGAAGGAGACACCTCTGCAGAAAAGCCGTCCAAAGTCGTCACGACTGATACAGCGGTATTTCTAGTGCTCAGAAATTACTGAGTATTTTCTAAAATATCTCTCTTGTGGTGTTTAGGTGGTCCCACTGTGTGCGCTGACATTCATGGATTTTGAGGGCCGAGCCGATGGACGATCGATCAAGTCGATATTGGCCCATGTAGCTCCCTTGAAGCTGGCAAGTGTAGCCTTTTCCTTTATCTTCATTTGCTGATTTGGAGGAGATCAGGTTTTGATCCATGGATCCGCGGAATCTACCGAACACTTGAAGCAGCACTGCCTCAAAAATGTCTGTCCGTTCGTCTACACTCCACGGGTTGGTGAAAATATGAACGTCACGTCCGATCTCAATGCGTATAAGGTGCGATGAGAGTTTGAGACCCGTGTGTGAATGACTCCGTCCTTGTTCCTGTTTAGCTGAGGCTGACGGAGCGTATAATGAGCAGCGTCCTCTTCAGAAAGGTAAACGTGGCACAGATTTTGGAGTTTGAGCATTGTGCACGTTTCAGCTTGGAGATTACGAGCTAGCGTGGGTTGATGGAGAAATCGGACAGAACGAGGAGGATTTACTCCCACTTTTGCCTCTGGACGGAACGCCACCTCCACACAAGACCGTCTTTGTTGGGGATTTGCGCCTTGCTGATTTCAAGCAGCTATTAGCCACCAAAGGCATCCAGGTGACCTCGTCTTGTTCTGCTGTCCTGGTTAGATGTTTGACCTCTGCTTCACATGCGCAGGCAGAATTTGCCGGTGGTGTTCTCCGTTGCGCTGACAACATAGCCGTTCGCAAGGTAGGTAGTTCCGAACTTTGTAAATCCGGAAACTAAGTTGCTCTGCCCAGAGTGGAGGACAGCAACTCGTAATCGAGGGATCTTTGTCTGACGACTACTACAAAGTCCGGGAGCTGCTCTACTCACAATACCACATAGTGTGAATGTAAAGTAAGTACCTTTCGAGACACTGGGGTGATCACATTAGCTTTCTGTGAACAGCTTCTTGGCCAGAGTTTCGTGGAGGGCTTGGCGGGACAAGAGGTTTTCCATCTGCAAACAAGGAGTGACAAGAAACCAATCAGCACAGGAACTTAAGATACCATATCCGGGGGCGTTGACTCACTCACCTTGGTGTTGTGGTGAACGGTCAAGCTGAGGACCGAGCTCGCTTCGGGCTTCCAGTCGATGGAATCCAGCTCCAGACCGAGCTCCTGGAGGCAACTCAGCATCCTGACCAGGTCGTGATCCGGTCTCTTGACGTCGAAGCTGAGGTGAATTGCCGATCGCGCGGCGCGGGAGTCGTCATTATTGTCGAGCTCCTCCGTGAGCATGCTGGTGGGATTCGTTGCGGCTGGGGACAAGGACTCCACCTCTTGGTCGCCGGTGCCGCCGTTCAAGTTGGAGGTGAAGCTCGGGCTGCTCTGCTCTTGGAGCTCCGCGATCTGGCACCGGAGTTGCTTGATGTAGTCGATGGTGGCCTGGAGGACCGCGAGCTTGTTGGCCTGTCCAGTGCCACGTTCAGGGATTGGAAATGAAAGTTGAAGCAAGTTTTCTTGTTTAAAATTCTCATACCTTCTTCAAGGTCCCTTGTGGGATGAATTTCTTGAGTGTGGCCAGGTGCTCGGATTCCTTGGACCGCCGGGACCGCTCGGCCAGCATGTGGTTGTACGAGGCGGGAGTTTGCGCTGGAGCTCGCGGATTTGATTGGAATTGGATTTGGGGTTGGTGTTGGAGATCTTGAGCTTGAGCTACTCGAGAAGATGGCGCTTGTATTTCTAGTTGCTGCTGTTGGTGGAGAGTTACATCTGCGGGGGCAGCCGAGGAGGAGGAAGCGCGAGATTGGAGCTGCTCCCTTTCGTGAACTTGCCGATAGAGATCCAGGATGGAGCACGCCATCATCTTCTTCCTGCAACCATGGCCATGAGTATGACCGGTGCTTTCGATCCCAGGACTCCAGTATTGGAAGGCCTTGCCCGGACGGATTTCTACTTGTTCCACCGGTACCGCTTCCTCCTTGACCACCATCACGGGCAGCGGCTGTTCGAAGGGCTGCTGCTGGAAACCCGCACCACGGCCCGTTTCCAGGGGAAAATCCACACGAGACAGCCCCTGAACCACGATGCTGTCGTGATCAAACAGCTGAAACGCCTCGGTCCCGTCGAAGCTCTGGCTAAGTTGCTGAATGTGGGCTTGGAGCTCGTGATCGTCGTTGGGCTCCAGGAAGCCGCCGCTGCTGCTGGCCCCCGCGGAGCTCAGGCTGAAAGCAGACTCATGGCCCGTCGCTGCCCCTGGAAAGCTCCACGCCTCGGGATCGTACAAGGCCTGGGATGGGAGGCACAGATTTGTAAGGAAGCAAAGGAGAACAAACTCTTGCTCCAAGGAGAGAACATACCTCCATCTCCATGGCCTTTGCCGCTCCCTCGCTGCTGGTTACTTGTTCCAGGTCGGTCTCATCAGAGTTCTTAAGGGCAGAGAAGGCAGAAAATCTGCGGACTAAGGCGAGATACTCTTGCTCCTCCACTTTGTTCGGCTGTTGCAGAGGATATCAATCTTTTGCCCCGATTTATTCAGCGGCCCCCCCCGCATATTCCCCGAATACAACACGTGGGTTAAATGTGCACCTTCTGTGCTCGACACTGAGCTGTTAAACCGCCCTTTGACATCGCGGTTTCGGAGCGTAATCTAATCCAGCTTATGGCGAGGAAGGTGGTAAGGAAGCTTCCCAAGTGCCGCACGTTTTGGAAGCTTGCAAAGACCCCTCTTTTCCGCCTTTAGTCGAAGCCCACGCGAAGCCGCGGAGTGGAACGTCGAAGCTTTTGCGACATTGCCTGCTGCGCGGCCTGTCAAAACCACTTTCTTCGCTAATCCCAAATACACGCAATCCTGTGTTCTGTGTGAGTTGTGTGTGATCAAGTCAGCATCTGGTCCTGGGCCACACCTACAAGGAACAATCAGCCACCATTTGTCAATTGATCGGAAGGAGGGCCACCCCTAGCTCCTACAGTCGGGTCATTTTCCTGTTGAACATTTGGCTCGGCTTGCTTTTGGAATCACAGATCCTTTGGATTACGTAACTCTCACGTAATATATGGTGGTGGCTCTTGATCCATTGGGGATACAATTAGGCCATTTTCCTCCATGCATTTTCGAGGGAAAGCAAATGCTAATGCTAACAAGTGTCTTGTTCCTATTGTCAAGCTTAAAACTCTCTCTCTCTCTCTCTCTCTCTCTCTCTCTCTCTCTCTCTCTCTCTCTCTCTCTCTCTCTCTCTCTCTCTCTCTCTCGTTCAAGGCTTGTTCGGTGTTTATGTTGTGCTGTGTTGCCTGATCCAGTCCAGACGTATTCTACACGTACTGCTAGTCCAATTCCAGTTTGCTACGGCATGAAGTTACGTAGTAACCGTAATAAAATGCGACCTGCATGTGGCTTTTCATATGTCCTCTAGCTCGAAACAAAGACAGTGTGAGGGAGTTCAAGCCAATTTTCTAGTTATATTTGCATATGATCTTATATGATGTGATATAGCGTGGTGCAGTAGATACATTAGTTCATGGAATGTTCTAACATTACAAAAGTCATAGAATGTGTTCGCAATGCTTTGGGTCAGCGATGGTCCCCCGCAAGCTCGATCCGTCGCCTGCTTGTCGTAAATACTCTGTAGAAAATCTTCCATCGCAGCCAGCATGGTCTTAAAAATATCCAAAGATCTTCCCTTACATTGCAAGAAAATAGAGTTTTTTTCTCTCGTAAATCCCAGCAACATTGTCATGGCTCGAGAACGGTCAAGTTTCGTCTCTGGGATTTCCAAGAGACGACGACTTAATCCGGACTTAGAATTCGAGTCAGCGCTTGAAAGTCGGTCTCCTCCTCTGCCTTGCGATCTCGAAACATGCATAACTCTGTGCACTCCTCACGAGTGAAATATTAGGCAGATTCGTGCAGTTTTTCTTGCTTAACGCGCTGTAATTTATGGGGATGCTCCTGTTATATCTAGATCCAAGTTCTTCCCATCATCTGTCAGAAAAAAGTTACTTCAACATAGAATTAAAACAGACCGCTAACTCGAAAGATCGGCAAGAAGACCGTGCACATCGGAAGAAAGCGGCCTCGTCCAGTTCTGCCAAAACGAGGTTTGTGACGCTGCAATGTTACTTACATGTCCGATTAAAAACTCGTTTAAGAAACTGTATGAAACCGTGTTTAAGTCGATTCGCTGGTTGTTTGTGTATTGTCCAGGCCACGTATTCTCCATGTACTGCCAATCCATTTCCAGTTTGGCCACGGCATGAATTTACGTAGTTCTACTGTAATGCAATGCGAGCTGTAAACCAATTTTCGCTGCATAGATCTCATATAAGTAATATGAAGTGTGGAACAGCGTGTTGCAGCAGACATACATTAGTCCATGGAATGTTCTAACAGTACAAAAGTCATAGAAGTGTGTCTGCTAGGCTCTGGGTATACATATAGAGAACAGTGCGGCTGTTGTGATCCGGCAATGGCCGCTTGGAAGCTTGATCTCTTCGCCTGCTTGTTCCTTGTTCTCGCTCTTGGGCTCGCCGCTCCAGATCCTACAGGGAATGGAGAACACCACCTCCGTCGCCATCCTTCAGGCCGTCAAGCTCCTCCTCTGCTTCCTGGTAAGTTGCTCTAGATTGTGATTCCAAGATGTCAGAGTTCCTGTCTAACTGGCGGTTGTTGTTGCAGATTTCGTCGGTTTCCCTGGTAAGTCTACAGTGTAAGATTCTTTCTGAGCTTCAGCGTTTTCTATCCGATGATCGTGGGTTTTGCCACCTCCGCAGTTTTCTGGTCGCCGCCAGGTGGTAAGGCTGAATGAGCCGACGATCAATGTGTCTGTGTGTGTGTTTGGCATTTGGTTTCGCAGGTGATAGAGACTTTGACTGTCAGCAATGCGTCGACTGCTGCCTCGCCTTCACTTGCATAATCCGCGGTGAACATTGCGAACAGTTTAACGGTCCGTATTCCTCTTTTGGTTGCTGCTTGATTTAATCTGCTTCCTCTTCGTCTTGCAGGCTTCCACTGTCCAGTGCTTGAAGCATGCAACCGGAACTGCCGCATGGAATGTTTACTCTAACCAGCAAGCGTACTGGCTATGAACTCCACCTTGATTTTCTCGTGATTTCTTTGACTAGTTGTATCGAGCATGTATCCAATATCGCAAAACGCATGATTCATTTCTATTTGTTTGTTTCCTCGCGAATCTCATCAACATTCTCATGGCTGGAGAACACACAAGTCTCGTCACTCGAGTCAGCGACTGAAAGTCGGTCTCCCTCCTCTCCTTGCGATCTCGAAACATATATGCTCCAGGTGAACTCCGAGAGATCAAGACTGGCGACAAGGCCCTCCTTTGTTTGGACGACAGGCATCGTCCAAACAAACAATGAGGTTTGTGATATATAGAAGGCATAAGAAAATGCAATGCTTCTTACCTTTAAGAGTGGTTGAACGTCAAGAAATCCTCGTAAGAACCGCACCTGGAAAAAAAACCTGTGGCGAGAGTAAATGTGCCAAAAACTTTTCAGAATATCTGTCCTTTTCTGGAATACCATCTACATTTCTTTAGGACGCTCTCCTTGAGTTAAGAGACGTATCCTACCGTAATACAATGCAGCCTTGAAGATGTTCTTGAACTCAAAACAAAGACAGTGTGAGGGAGTTTAAACCAATTTTCTAGTAATAACTCATATACAGTGAGGAACAGCGTGTTGGCAGTAGACGGACATTAGTTCATAGAAGGTTCTAACAGTAGTGTTTGCAATGCTCTATACATATAGAGAACTTTCCCGACTGTAGTGCTCCAGCAGTGGCCGCTCACAAACTCCAGCTCATCGCATGCTTGTTCCTCTTTCTCGCTCTTGGGCTTGCCACTCCAGGTCCTCCACGGAATGGAGGACACCACCTCCGCCGCCACCCTCCAGGCCGTCAAGCTCCTCCTCTGCTTCCTGGTAAGTTGCTCTAGATTGTGAATCAAGTCGAAGTGTTCCAGTCAAACTGCCAGTTGTTGTTGCAGATTTCGTCGGTTCCCCTGGTAAGATTCTTTCTGAGCTTCAGCGTTTCTGATCCGATGATCACCACCGCAGTTTTCGGGTTGGAGACTATCGGTAAGGCTGAAATGAGTCGACGATCAATGTGTCTGTATGTGTTTGGCATTTGGTTCCGCAGGTGGTAGAGTTTTCGACTGTCAGCTATTGCCGCGATTTCGCTTGCATAATCGCGGTGAACATTGCGAACAGTTTAACGGTCCGTACTCCTCTTTTCGTTGCTGCTTGAGTCAATCTGCTTCCTCTTCGTCTTGCAGGCTTCTGCAACATGAAATGTTTAGTCTAACCAGCAAGCGAACTGGCTATACTTTACCTTAATTTTCTCGTAAATTCTTTGACTAGCTGTAGAAAATCTTCCATCGCTCGCAGCTGGTCCTAAATATCCAATATCGCAAAACGCATGATTCGTTTCTATCAAATGTTTCGTTTTCTCGTGAACCCCAGCAGCATTGTCATGGCTGAGGAACGCACAAGTCTCGTCGTCTGGGACTTCGAAGAGACGTCGACATATCCGGACTTTCAGCGAGTCGTTCTCCCTCTGCCTTGTGTCTCGAAACATGCAGGTAGAACTCCGTGCACTCAGATTCGTGCAGTTTGCTTGCCATTTTTTCCGGGGCATACAGAGTGTTGGGGATATCGCTAACACGAAAGATCAAGACTGGCGAGACGGAAGGAAGGGGTTCTGCCAAAACAAACAGTGAGGTTGGCGACATTCGAAACAGAAGCACAAGGTATAAGAAAATGCAATGCTGCTGACCTTTAAGACTGTCCAAGTGGAGAGTGATAAGAAATACTCGTAAGAAACCTCTAGAGCCTGGAAAAAAACTTTTGGCGAGAAAAAGTCGAAATGTGTGGAGCAAATGTGCCATGTTCGAGAATTAAAACCTTTGGTTTTAGCTTCAGACCTCTAAGTTTCTCGCTGGAGAAAAAAATATTCCCTGTCAATCTGCTTTCCCGGAAAACCATCTACATTAGTCGCCCCACATACAGACTCCTCGGGAAGCGCTCCTTGAGTTGAGGCCACTGGACGTAGAACAGATCCATGGCGTGAAGCCTGTATAGGATGAGGCCAGTGAGCGAGAGCTTCTGCACCCTGGCAATGCTTTCAACATACACCAGAGTCGCCCATTTCAGTCCCAAAACCTGCAAGCACGCAATCCGTCCATCAAAATGTGATTTTTTACTTCTTTTTTCTTTTCCAACCTTCAACAAGAAAGCTGCGACGCAAACTGGCAGACAAGTCCCCGGTCCATTGCACAAAACCTGTGGAATTTTCTCAGCGACAAGGACACAGCGAAAGAACTACGACTTGTCACTCACCACATCGGGTCTGATCCGGAAAACAACCCACAGAGCGTGCGCAATGGCCATCAAAGTCGTCACCACCGACGTTAGATACGACTGCCCGACCTCGCGGCTCCTGTAAATCTGGAGGTAGTGCCGAGCACCTTGCAAACATCCATCCTAGCAAAGTATATCGATCCTCTCTCATCCTGCGTGATCCACAAAAAGACCCACCAGAGTAGCAGCAGACGACGATTTCTCCTCCGCGGCTCGAGCTCTCGGCAAGCTCATGTTGTCACTCGCGGCAGCCAAGTATATCCTGGGGCTGTATCTCTCCGGACGAAGCATCTCCACGACGTTCAACATCTCAGCCGTGTGCCCGCCTAGGCAAAAACAGTGAGAAAGCTCTTCACAATGAGATTCTTCGTCGATTACCTGATCCAAGAACAACGAGGGTCTTGAAGGCCCGGCTGCCCGGCGCACGCGGCTTCCCGGTGAATGCGTAGACGACGAGCAATCGCCATAGCACAAGACCTAGAGCTGCCCCGCAAAACAGAGGAAACCAATCCTCCATTCCAGCCTAGAACTAGAAAGACTCTAGGGCATAGTATAACTTACATTTACATTAGAACAAAACTATGTGATCTTTAGATTCGTACACCATAGCATTAAACTCGATGATAAGCCCAAGCTTTCTCGTGGTCCCATGATCCATCAATCTCCATAGCTACAGCTAAGCTGATATCTAGATCAATCAAACCAGCAGTACCATCTCCCATTGTAGCTTGATCAGAGTAACCAACTCAACTCAGGATGATCCAGCAAAGCCATAGCTCTAGAATGGTCCTATCACTGAGGCTGTGTGGTACACTTTTGCTAGCTAGCTCACACACTGTGAGCCTGTGTGACACACACAAGACACACTACACGCGGGAGAGCTTGCCTTTATTCCATTTCCTTCTCTTTTGCCTGGCCAGGGGCCACCAACAACGATTGAACTAATAACTCCAAAGCCAGAGCTGTCGCAATTCCCACACGTAGTTCTCTTCTTTTCAAGAACTACTGCAAGTAGTATTTAGTGATCGTTTGTATGTATTTTGTCACTGTGATCATCAATTTCACTGCTGGAACTTCACAGGCCCTCTGTTGAAAGATCTAGCGCTACAAGCCAAGCTCTCTCAGGCCTGGTACTCTTTCTCGCGGGTCTCTTTTCAATCTTTTCTTCTCTGGTTTATAGCGAGCAATCGCCCAAAACGAAAAGAGGGGAGGATTGAGACGGCAACTTCTCTAGAAGCATGGAGCCATCCATCGTCCGCTTTTCAGCCAGTCCTGTGCTTGCTCGCTTGCTTTGCTGTGCTAGCGACGAAAAACGATAGCTCGACAATGCGAAGCTGCCCTTTCTTTCTCTTATGTTTTATAAAGATGGCGCAGAACAACCACGGAAGTATCTATCCTTTCATAATCTGATCGTCGGTCAGGCTTTTCCCCACAAAGGAAGAACCGAACTCGTATCTTCTGATTCCGACCGAACGAACAGATCGACTTTCAGGCCGAGAATCAGCAGCAAAATCCGCACTGAAGCAGCATTCCTCCTCCACCAACTGTACACCTTTCAAGAGAGCGGGAGAATTTCAAGGAAAAAAGTAATCGAGGGAGCCGAGCGAGAGAGCTCGATCAGTCAACCGCCATCAATGAATTGATCGATCGGTCCCACCATGGTTGTGCTGTGTCTGTGCCCGTGAAGATCGATGATCGCAGAGAAAGGAGAGCCGCGACATGGATATGATCCAAGGGGGGAAAGAAAGATCAGACGTCGATCAACCTCCCGGAGGACATCCGCGTGGATCCAGAGAGCTCCCTGCTGCTGCTGTGATCCTTGGCGCCCACCACCTTGGGCTTGACGTCGTAGAGCATTTGGACCACGTCCCTCATGGCGGGGCGCTCCGCGGGCTGGTCGCTCGAGCACAGCAGCGCGACCCGGAGCACCAGCATCACCTCGTGCAGCGGCAGCAAATCCGTGGAACCCATCCGCGGGTCCAGGATGGCCAGCACCCCGTCCTTGGTCTGGATCATCTTGCGCACCCACTTGACAATGTCGATCTCGTCGCCATACCCCGGCTCGATCGGCCGCCGCCCCGTCACCAGCTCCAGCAGCACCACCCCGAAGCTGTAGATGTCGCTTTTCTCATTCACCTTGAGCGTGTAGGCATACTCTGCATGGGAATGGAAACGTGAGAAAGGTGGAAGGAAAGGTGGCCATGCAAAGCTGGCGGAGCGCTTGCTTACCGGGGGCGATGTAGCCGTAAGATCCGGCGACCGAGGACATGGACTCGGACTTGTCACTCCCCTGGAACAACTTGGCGAGGCCGAAGTCCGCGACGTGGGCGCGGAGATTGGAATCGAGCAAGATGTTGTTGGATTTGACATCGCGGTGGACGATGAGCGGCGAGCAGTCGTGGTGGAGGTAGCACAGCCCATTGGCCGCCTGGACCGCCACCTTGTAGCGCGTCTCCCAGTCGAGCACCGGGCACGCCTTCGTCCCAACTCCGTGGAGCACCTCGCCGAGGCTGCCATTGGGCATGTACTCGTAGACGAGGAGGTTGGTCTCGTGGTTGGAGCAAAACCCCAGCAGCTTGACGATGTTCATGTGGCGGATCTTGCCCAGCGTCTGGACCTCGGCCGAGAAGCCAAAGTCGTCGTGCGACGACCGGCTGCCCGATGACCGTTTACCGGAGTTGACCGGGCACGACGCCAGCCGCTTCACCGCCACCAGCTCGCCGCTGCGCATCATCGCCTTGTACACGGTGCCCGACCCGCCCCGCCCGATCACGTTGTCCTCGGACAAACAGTCGAGGATGTCCGCCGCCGAGAAATCCAGCTTCTGGAACGCGGTCAGCTTCCACGGCCGCCGCCTCGATCGCCCACACGACGATCCTTTGCCGCCGCCAGGGAAGAGCACCACTGTGATGCACTCCTTGTACTTGCGCACGAAGAAGAAGGTGCCAAACACGCCCACCAGCAGCGCCGCCAGAAACATCGATCCAAACAGCCACCCAAACACCGCGCGGTCGCGGGCGCTCCTCGGCTTCCTCCTCGGGCTGGCAAGAACAGAGCAGTTCCTCGCGGTGGGCGCGCCACACAAGCCCAGATTCCCGGCGAAGGAGCTCTCGTTGAAGAATCCAAACTGGCCCTGCGATGGAATCGGCCCAAACAGCCGGTTGTAGGAGAAATCCGCGCTGGTGAGCGCCTTGGCCTCCTCCAGCTCGCGCGGGATCTCCCCGGACAGCCCATTCCGGCTCACATTCAGGGCATCCAGCGCCTTGAGCTGCGCGAGCTCGCCCGGGATGGCGCCCACCAGCTGGTTCCGGCTCAAATCCACGCTCGACAGCCTCACGCACGACCCGATCGATCGGGGGATCTCGCCCGAGATGGCGTTGCCGCTGGCGTCCAGCACGCTGAGCTGCTGGAGCATTCCAATCGAGGCCGGGATCCTGCCCGAGATCCGGTTGTCGCCCAGCAGCAAGTTCTTGAGATTGGTGAGGTTGCCGATCGCGCGAGGGATGCTGCCGCGGAGGCGGTTCTGGGAGAGATCCAGGAGCTCCAGCTCCACGGCGGAGACGGGCGCGTCGGCGATGATACCATCCATCCGGTTGTCGAGGAGCTCGAGCATCCGGAGATTGGGGAGGCCGAGCGTGTTCTTGGGCAGGCCGCCGGTGAGCTGGTTGTGGCCGAGACGGACGCGCACGAGGGTGTTGCACTGGCCGAGCGATTCCGGGAGGGCGCCGCCGATCTGGTTGCCGTAGAGGATGAGCACCTGGAGCGCTCCTCCCCAGCATATCTTGTCTGGGATGGATCCCGAGAGGGAATTGGAGGAGAGATCCACGGTCATGAGACTCAAGCTCGCCTGGCCCAGCTGAGGAGGGATGCTGCCAGTGAGATTGTTCGCCCAGAGCTGGAGCACCTCGAGGTTGGGCAGATCGCCGAAGAAGGATGGGATGCTCCCGGTCAGCCGGTTGCGGAAGAGATTGACCAGCGCGATGCTCTCCAGCATTGCGAGCTCGTCGGGGATGGGGCCGGAGAGGAGATTGTTGGAGAGGTCGAGCGACTTGAGCGCGCTGAGGAGGCCGATCTCGGCCGGGATGGGGCCGGAGAGGTTGTTGATCTGCAAGAAGATGGAGTCGAGGCGCGAGAGGTTGCCGATCTCGGCAGGGATCCGGCCAGTGAGTCCGCAGAAGCCCAGATCGATCCGGACCAAATTCGCTAGCTTTCCAATCTCGCGAGGGATGCCGCCCTCGAACTCGTTGTAGTAGCCGAGATAGAGCTCCTCGAGCTCGCCCAGGTTGCCCAGCTCGGGGGGGATCCGGCCAGTGAGGGAATTCCCGGAGAGCGCCAGATAGCGCAAGGTGGTGAGGTTGCCAAGCTCCGGGGGGATCGCGCCCGAGAAGTAGCTCCCGCCGAGGTGGAGATGGCGGATGGATTGGAGCGCGCCGAGCTCGGGCGGGAGGGGGCCGGAGAAGTTGTTGTTGTACGTGTCGAGCACCTCGAGCGTGGCGATGGCGGAGAGGTTGGCGGGGAAGCCATAGCCGAAGTTGTTGTGGGAGATGTTGAGGAAGCGGAGGCGCGGGAGGAGCGAGAGCTCGGGCGGGAGAGGCCCCGCGAGATTGTTCTGCTCGAGCGAGATGTTGACGAGGTGGCGGAGGCGCGCGAGAGGGAGCCCCGAGAGGGACCCATTCAAGCTCTTGCCGCCCAGGTTGAGCGCCGAGACGAATCCATCGTCATCGCATTGGATCCCCGTCCACGAGCACGGCGACGAATCCGACGCTGACCAGTCGTTGGTGTGCCCGAATTCGTCCACCAGCAACTCCTTCACGCCCAGCAGCGCCGCCACTTCCTCGCTGCCCGCCACCTCTGGATCTTGCGCTGCATGGGCCAGGATGATCGCGAGCGCGATCAGCAGCAGCCGCATTGCGATTCGCGACCCCCTTTGCTTCCAATGCCCCCAGCGCGCTAGCCAGCCCGGGATTTCGACTCACCCATTTTCGCAACCCATGGATCGATCGCAGTAGTAGCGCGCGCGCGCTGTGCCAAGATCTCCAGAGAAATCCCCGCTTTCCTTTAGTGTTGCGAGCAAGTGGCGCTTCTTCTTTTTCTTCTTGGGTCAATCAAGCCCTCAAGAATGTGAGTGGCATCTACCCATGCCATGCCCCACATTTATATACATAGCCTCTTTCATCCATGGCCATGCATGGATCCCAATGGCCATCATTTCACACTTCAGTAAATACATCATGTGGGCTAGCTGTCCACATCGGAACGCTAGCCCGTACGCCCTAAGTCCACCTGGCACCATCACGCCCGCACATCACGCCACGCGTACGGGAGATTCCCGGCCGCATATTCCGCTCCAGAATGTGAGACAAGGGAATCTCTGCAATGCAAACAACGCCGAAAGGATGAGACTAGGAGAAGCTCTGGACAGATCGAATTGGAATAAGGCTGCCATAGTTTTCGTCCCTATTGTATAAAAGTAGATTGCATTGCACTGCTATACATATAATTCTATATACACGTCCGAGCTGGCTGGCTGATTTGA